TTTCTTACAATGCTTTTTCATGAGGAGAATCAAAGTTATTTGCAGTTAATAGGGTGGCAACTACAGTCTTGTTCGCTGCGGATGTTTAGGCGTGTCAACCTGCAAAAAGCCTTTGTTGCACGGCATTGATCGAGCATTTTTGGACGAGTGTCCCTTTGGCATCATGCCAACAACCACTTTGATGTAAGCGGGTGCATGTATATGTTCATATATCCATGTAGCAATGCTTCATATCAATTGTAGTCGTAAATGAAGCGATAAGAGTACCAGCGTCGATGTGACTGTCCGGCCATTTGTGGGCGGGCGGTTGCGGTGGGCGTCTGGGTCGGCATGTTGCACCGGTTAGGCGCTATAACGATGCTTGTGATTTTAAGAGGCGCCAGACAGCGTCTGCTGGGTAGAATGTTTTTTTTGTGCTAGGCGTATCGACCCTGTGCACTTTGTCGGTTTATCGTACCACTTGTCTTCAACTTACCAAAGGGAAAGGTGTCCCACTCAAAGTGATAACGATACGATAGAAATGAAATAAATTCTATTTCCCACGTCCTTCACCGCGGCACTTTTGAGGAAATGCCGAATCGTCGCGGCCAATCAAAAGCAACCCCATCTCGCAAAAATTCTGCAACACGCAGCAGCGGAGGAGAGACCTGTAGCACTTCCACCTTCGCTAAATTCTAATTTCACTTGCTTCCGTCTACTCGACTCCGATCAGCGTAATTTTGCGCCTTGGTAAATGTTCTCCTATTAAAGCTGTTATCAAGTTACAGTTCTGCTTGTCTCACCTGACTGTTAATGAACTGTCTAACTTTGTTTTGCTGCTGATGACCTTCGCAAGGATCAGCGGAGAAAACCGAATTCCTTGAGCCGATAATGCTGTAATGCTATCAATATCGAGTTGAATAAATATATAAAAACAACGGTATCCAGTGGAAACGAAAGATGACTGGCGACGAGGAGCACTGGAAGTTTGGGCACTATCTCTGAGGAAGAGTTGCCTTCGCCGGCGTGGCCCTTTTCACCGTGGCCACCCTCGTCTGTGTGATTTCGGTTCCAATGCTCTACAACTACGTGCGAAACGAGGTCGACTTCTGCAAACTCGCTCCGGAAATATGTGGAGAGGTAACCCGCACTCATGCGAATTTCGACACACTGGCTGTTTTTCGTTTAATCTTGTGGGCATTGGTAACTCCTAAAGTTGAGGTCCTTGGTGTATCCACATGGAGAACCCCTCAGGCTGGTGGTGGGTGCTGTGGATGTGGCGTTTCTTCTGTTGCACCACCGGAATCATCTGGACAAGGTGGACAACCTGAACTGGATGGTCAGCCTGGTCAACCTGGTAGGGATGGACTGATGGACCACCACCGACGCCACCTCCTATGTCACTCCATGCTTCACTGCCCTGCTGGTCCTCCAGGTCCACCTGGAAACGCAGGAGGCAAGGGACAACCAGGAAATCCTGGACAAGATGGCCAGCCAGGAAATGCTGGAAACCCAGGAGGTGCAGGTCCCCCAGGACCACCAGGACCACCCGGAAACGACGGCCAGCCTGGAAACCCTGGAGCGTCAGGAGCGTCCTGGACAACTTACCTTTGTTCCCAGCTCACAAGTACCTGGACCAGCTGGACCTCCAGGACCTCCTGGACCCGACGGTCAGCCAGGAGCACCCGGAAACCCAGGACAAAATGGTGGACCAGGACAGCCAGGAGACAATGGACAGCCTGGTCGCCCTGGAAATCCTGGAAACAACGGAAATGATGGAGAAGACGGAGGCCCCGGATCCCAGGGAAGCTGCGACCACTGCCCACCTCCTCGCACTGCTCCAGGATATTAAGCATTCTCTCCTTTACTGTATTTCAAAAAGGGCTAATTCAGTTTCATTCATTAATTTAGTTTCAGCTTCATTCATTAAAACAATTTCGATTGATTGTCGAGCAGTTGTGTCTCAACAGACAGAGCAAACTCTTTAGTTCTCATGACTAGTAAGGTTGTTGTAAGCTGTCGTCTGAAAACTGCGCTCACGACGTCGTTTGAGAACTAGTCATCCTCCAACTTTCACCAACAGTGGAAAAAAATATAAATTAAATACTAACTGCAAGCTAAAGTATGACAACTGTATGGAAACTAAATCATCCACCAATATAGAGGAAAAAAATATCCTAACTGGTTTTCCACCAATTACTGTGGCTCGCTCGCTGTTGGGAGAACGGGCTGGCGCCGAGCCAAACGCGGTTCCTCTGACACGCCTCAGCATTCGCTGCGAACAAGACTGTAATAACGAATGAGATTGCTCCTAGTATTCTCGTCTTACAGGTTATACTTACAGTTATTTACAAAAATATCAAAATATCGGACTAGACAAATATCGGAAAAGGTCGTTAGGGGAAGCGATGAGTTTTGGGTAGTGTTATTGCCACGAATACGCAACAACTCAACCCTTTTCTCTTCTTCCCCCATAATCGCCGTTGCGCTACCGTCAAAGCAAGGTCCGCATTATTGCGTTTTGAGCAACGAGTTTAGAGACGCCTAATGCCGTTTGGACTCCAGCAATTTCGAGCTCATTTTTAAATTGCCTAAGTCACCAAATCCGCTAAAAACTTGTATATAGGGGTAGTTTAACATCCTGATTACGAATATGACATTCACTCTTGTCGCTGGCGCTAAGGATGACACTACGATTATCTGCGCTCTGCTAAGGCTGAGCCCAGGAGGTAATCGTAGTGTCATCTCTTGGCGCCAGCGCCAAGAATGAGTGTCATAATTGTAATCAGGATGTTAAATAACCCTTGTGTACATGTTTTCAGCGGGTTTGGTGACTTAGGCAATTTAAAAATGAGCTCGGTGCCGAAATTGCTGGAAGTCCAAACGGCATCAGTCTTTAGAGACTTATCTATAGGTCACGCAGGCATAACCGTCAGGGAGCGAGGAGGTAATTACAAGTGATTTCCAGTGTTCCATTTAGGCACGTCGTACGTTGGAGATCCCAATGAGTGCATCCTAGTCCTTCGTCTGTGTAGGATGAATGGTAGCAGCAGCCGCAGTAGCGCCACCTTCTCTACAAAAGATGCATGGGAACGGGGCTGTAGGTGTTGTCTCCATACTCCACCCGGCTATCCTGAAGGTGCAGCACTTCCGTCGATATCATGGTCCGCAGCGAAACATGCACTCAGCGGTAAAGAACATTTAAAAGTGAGAGGGCGCAGACAAGCAGCGTGTTAGGCTGTGGTTTCACGGGCGGCTGACCGTGCGGCAGCGCGGCGTGGTGTGGGGACACCACCTGGGTGTCATAAGACGTTCGTTATCTCGTTTAACAGTACAAAACCATCGTCACTCTCATCTCCAATAAATCTTGTTAATAAAAATCTTCCCGAGCATATGACTTTCTTGCCTAGGAAAAAAAAGGAAGCATATGACTTTCTGCCTTTTCTGAGAAATGAAGAAAAGTTGTAAGGTCTCAGCGAGGAGAGCGAGCAGGGGTCAGGGTTGTGTCCGCCTTTGTGATAAGTGTTTTCAGTCGGTTGTTGGCCTGTTCGGGTTTTCTCGTTTTGCATGCGCTAGATACTCAGTCCCTGTCCTGCCGGTGGGGGAAATTTTTGCGAACTACCCCGCTCCTCTCACGATTTCCTTTCTCTGACGACTCACTTCCCCATCCTCTACCCTACCCCTACCATCTTCCTTAATTTTCCCTTCGACACTATTACCAGTTACGGAACATCGAGCGAGGAGCAATGGTATACACAGCACTCAAAACAGAAAAAAAACCGAGAAAAGTCAACAACCTGAAACATTTTTCCCAATGGCAAATACGATTCCCCTCCTACAGCGACCAAATCCCCCCCCCCTCAGCTGCGATCACCAACGTCCTTCAGTTTTTGGGATAACCTGAAGGTTTTGTGAAGAAAAATCGGAAATGTGGTAAAAAGTTAGGAGAATCCACAGAGATCGTGCGTAGGTTGGGGAATCGAAGAGGGGTCGTACCGGATTAGAAAATTTTGAGGAGAGGGGTCGTGCACTGCAAAATTTTTCTCCAACAGCAGGACGTGCCTGGTCCCTTATTCGACTTCGGCTCATAAAGACGTCAAAGTGTGCTTATGAGGCCTTCAGTAGCCTTCATCCTCCGAATTTGATCACTGTGTCAATAAAGTATAATTTGGTTACAATCTCAGTAGCGATACTAAGAGGGAGAGATGAGAGTTCTTTTTCTACTGTACTGTTTTTCAGGCGGTGAAAGATATGAGTTCCAAGAAATAGACCGCCTTGTCAGTGATCTTTACTGATCTTTACCTTGTTCTGTTATTCATTGTATGTTTTATTCCGTTTTATCATGAGTTTCATTCCGTTTATCATGAAATAAAAGTCGAAAATCAGATGTTTTGATTGGTCTTCTTTTCTTGCCAAAACGTTCCTTTATAAACCAGTAGGTTCTGCAGGTGATCCCTTCGCGTGTCGGTGTCCGGTTTGTTCCATTCTGCTGCACGGATCAGCACTCTGTTGATATTTCTTCTCAAACTCCGTAAATCGTTACAGCCTTACGTTCATACGCTGAAAAGTCCTAATGTTTTTAGGAGAGCGCTTCATTATTATTAGGCTTTTATTAGATTTTACAACATAGTCCATTATTAATTTTCATTATTCAATTGTTTCTCTCGTATAT